GCAACGCACAGGTGTCCTGCTTTGATTGAACTGAATTCCTTGCCAAAGCAATCAAGGAACTCAAAATGTCTAGGAGAGATGCTTCGCAAAAAATATAAAGGGGTTAGAACATACATGAAAGAGCTAGAAATGAATTTTCAGCAGACCTGCAGCGCAGAAGACGATGAAATGTAAATGTAAAGCACAACCCTTAAAACGGTGTCCAAGTTCACTTTTGGTCTCAGGTTGAGCAGGGGTTGGATGGGAAGGGAATGTATAAAATTGAAATAACGGGCCAGAGTAGAAAGTAGACTGTTAATATGGTAACCATAGGGAACTTTAGAAGGAAAAAAGCATGAACAATTTTGTTACTGATAGAAGCAACCCGAGAAAGAAAAACCCAGAATTGGGATTATTTTACAGGATGCATGAATCTATGCTACAAGAAACTTGTAGAACCATGTTAATATTTCAACACAGTATTTAAATTTGGAATCAGTAAGTCAAGTATTTTATTTCAAACTGGTCTAAAGTTTAGGTGTATAGAAGGGTACCGATGGTACCTGAACATCCCATATTGCTTCAGGTGATCTTCAAGCCCCTATCATTTACCTTGCCCTCTCTGAACTCTCCCTTGCCTCTCAACTTCCTACCAATATCCTTCTGGAAGTCTGGTGCCCAGAATTGTACACAGGACTCCAAGGGTGGTCTCATGCCTAGACAAGAATGGAGAATTACTCCACGTGGCTTTGATGCTCCTTCTGATGCAGCCCAGACCTCTGCTGCCCCTTCCAGCAGCTGTCCCACATTGTTATATTCACACACAACCTCAGATATAGGGTTTTCAAACCATGAATTTCCCCAACCCCATCCTGTCCTACATTTTTCTCCCAATTATAAGAAGGAAGTCTCTCTAGAGCAGGGAGGGGAGGAAGCCTGTAACAGAACAGTAAAAATTGGAGAACTGGTTCCTGTGTCTATTCCAGTGTTTCTCAACCTTGGCGACTTTAAGATGTATGGACTTCAACTCCCAGAATTCCCCAGAATGCTGGCTGGGGAGTTCTGAGAGTTGGTCCACACATCTTAAAGTTGCCACGGTTGAGAAACACTAGTCTATTCTGTAAATACTCAGCAAGTATGAATTAGTACAGAATTTGGATGGATTAAATCAAACTAGAATTGATTTTAGCAGGTAGTATAAAAAAGGCACACGCCACAGACTATGTTGTTAACCTCCCTGAGTACAGTACTTGTTAGTGTAGAATTAAATAAATGAAGGTCATCCTTGACATACCCACTTCAAAAAGAATCACCTGCAGGGGCTTCTCTTCCGTTACGGGTGGAAGGCAGGCAGCCCTAATCTGGATCCACTGAGTGCCAGGTTGCCTCACAGTTGGCAAAAGGGGCCTTTGTTAGGCTTTCTGCATAACAATTCTTCAACTATTTGCCCATCCATCACCAGAGGACTAGAGGCTGGAAACTAGCATTTTCCAAGTAATCCTTTCCAGTAATATTTTCAGAAGCAGTCAAGTTTCAGGAAAGTACAAAACCAAGTGATGCACACCACAGGACCACAAGCAATACTACTTTTCAAGTTACACAATTTACATATTCTTGGGGTTTTTTCCCCCTAACTTCAATTTGCTAAGAATGAGGGAGGCAGGAAGTTACTTTGACCTTATGGATCTGGCACATGTTTTAATGTTCCTGGATCAGGCCTGAAAAATGTGTATTGAAAAACAAGCAACCAAAACTCTTCTCCAATGCAAGAAGTAGTATTGTTTCGCCTAAACTGAAATACCTTCTATATCTCCCACCAACTGCTCTTATTATCACAAATATAGGATTTTCTAGAAAACAGAAACTGTCCCAAAGTGTCACAACTATTGGCTCTCATTAATTTATCATAACAAGGCAGCACACTGCATTAGTTTGACAAATTTTTCCAACACAATTCATTGCTTAGTTTCTAAGATCAATTTGGGACGCTTAATGTAATCTTTAAACTTGAAACAACTTTGTGACCCTGGCAATCACCTGATGCTTGTTTTGGGCAAAGACCTTCCATCTAAAGGGTTATGATGGCCACCCACTAGAAATTGCAAAGCTCTTTGCTGATGATGGTTGGTTTTTTGACTGTAGCAGCCGTTTTATGAACGGTTTTCCCAACCTCATTTTTACCTTCTTGCTTCAGGCAACAAGCTGCAGCCTGACTCTTTGTAAGCTGTTTGCAGTTTACAAACGGCAGCTGCAGCTTTACACATCAGTATTTGCAGGTTGCTGATTTTATTCTGCTCCTTGGTTTGGATCTTCCTTATGCAATTCTTGGTGTTTCATAATCACATAGCTTTGTTTTTGCTTTTGCATTTATAGGGTGGGCTTTCTCGTTTTGTTTAATGATTCTCGGCCACAAGACAACTCGGTTCAACACATCTCCTCTTTATTGGATGAGTTAAGTTGTAGAAGGACATGAGCAGCGGGGCTTTGTTCATTCTCAGATTCTTCAGGCCGTTTTCCAGTGGAGGAGCTAATATGCTTCTGGTCGTAAACGTGAACCAACTTCTCAGCAAGGGAGCAAAACATGCCGACGAGGCTCCCTGGGCGATGCTTGCTCTACTCCTTCAGGACAAGAGGGGCCTTTGTCCGGGCAGCCTCTTCCTTCCCCAGCAGCATTTCCACAATCTTAAGACCAAACTCGAAACTGGTGCCAGGTCCTCGACTGGTGATGATGTGCCCATCTTTTTCCACCCGATTCTCAGAGTATTTGTAGTGATCTTAAGGAGAAGACAAGAGAAAGGCATCGGCTACTCCAGCAAACAAAATGGCATTCTCTCCTCTGAGAAGCAGAACCGTTTATGCAGCTCTCAGTCACTGAACTGTGAGCTCCAGGGTGCCTCCTGATTCAAGCTGGTGGCTTTAAACTGTTCCATGGTGAAGGCGCTGGGGTGGAAACCAGGAGAGGGTGAGTTTTAGGCAGGAAAGCCAGCTGGATGACTTTGGGGGCCAGTCCCTCTCTCTCCACCCAACCCACCTCACAGGTGGTTGTTATTGTGGGGGAAAGGGGAGGCAGGAATATTAAATATTATGCTGCCTTCAGTTGGCCAAAAATATGTAAAAGATATAATAACAGTTCTATGCTTTGAAATAGACCCATTCTATGTTAGATACCCTAAGGAAAAAAATTAAGGGTAACATGCCTACAAAATTGCATTTCTGTAAACATCTATTCCACAGCTGTGCCTGGAATAATGTGCACAGTTCTTATTGCTGGAGTTCAAAATAGACTTTGTGGAACTAGAAAAGCTGCAGGGAGTGATCAGGTGACTGGGGCAGGTCTCTCGTGAGGAGTTACGCTATTTGAGGCTCGTCTCAACGAAAGAAGGGCATGACAGAATTGTAATGCTATGCTTACGTTCTGTGAATAAGAAACACCTGCACAGTGTGGTGGGCTGCCTCCTCTAGCCCGCAACCTTCCTGTTCCTCCCCACCTCTCTTGCTGCTCCCCACGATAACGTTTGGGCATACTGACCACCACTCATCATCTTGTCTTTTGCCAAGGGGTGCGTTGTCACTTTGCTTCCAAAGCCGATTCCATGCGCAAGCAGAGCTGTGGGACCTGAAGGCCAACAGAGGAAAAGCAGGCTTTTGCTCACTCCGTCATTGCATGCTACGGTATGGAGTTTGCAGTTAAAAGCTTTGCATTATAGGATTAGGTTTGTAAATTCCAAACAAACATAGTGAAGGTGGGAGAAAGTTGACTTCCTCGCAGAAAAAACAGTCCCAATAAGAGTTTTTAAAGACAGATTTGCAAAACACTCAGAAAAGTGTGCAGACACCTGCACATAGAGGACTTTTAGTTAGAAGACAAAGAGGGCGCACTACAAGCATCCTTCTAGTACAGTGTTTCTCAACCTTGGCAACTTTAAGAGATGCGGACTTCAACTCCCAGAATTCCCCAGCCAGCAAGGGTCCACATCTCTTAAGGTTGCCAAGGTTGAGAAACACTGTTCTAATATCTCAGGACCACAGTCCTTTCTACACCAAGTATAGGCAACCAAATTAATACTACCATTGACATTTGGCAATGCCACCTTCACAATGCTTTGCCTCTGGCCATCCTGGTTGGGGCAGATAGGAATGGATGCCTTAAAACCTCTGGAGAGCACTTCACTGCCCATCTTTGGCCTCCATAGATCACACTCTCTCTGCAGCTGCTGAAGGATCAGTGGAGGGGGAATGATCAGTCTGCACCCAGAATATTGTGGCCCATTATGGGTGCTATATTTTAGGAAGGACACCGACAAACTGCAGGGCGTCCAGATGAGCAATGACAATAAGGGGCCATGAGGAACAGAGAAGGACATGTTTCACCTAGAAAAAGATAACTGCAGGGAGACACTCCATTAGTTATCCTTGGATAACTTGGAAAATCAGTATTATTTTTTCCTTCTCTTTTTTTGACTCCTCCCCCATCTGTGGTATGAGTTTCTTGCTTTTTAAAAAAAAAAGATTACATGTTTCTTGCTTTTCTAAATACAATTAAGCAGTTCAATTTCTGCAACCTGCAACCTATAGGGAAAGTAATTCCCCCCTCAATACTACAGAAAAAACATCTCAACTTTCTTTTCCACGTCACTGATTGATAGACCTCCTGAATCCATGGTCCCAACCCGATGGGCCTAGTCCTTTGGCCAAGGTGGGTGGCAGAGATCGAAGAACCGCCTCCCCGTCGCTCCCAAGGGCCTTGCCTCTTGAGCAACTCTGGCAGAACAAGCAACAGCAAGAAGCTGGGAGAGAGACTGCTGCAAGGCACAGTAATGGCCCTGCACAGAACCGAAACATTCATGCTGTTTGGCTCCATCTCTGGAATGGGGCCCTTCAAAGGGCTAACCAGGGACTGTGACCCAGCACAGAAAGGACAGAGGCCCTCATCAATCTTGGCATGTTCCCTTCACAAAGAATGCGAACTTGAGACAGCTTCTGAATTCTCAGAATTGTTACAAACCTGCAGAGCCAGGCCCT